GGGGGGGGGGGGGGGGGCGTACTCATAGTCGTGCATGCCGTAGTCGTTAGACCATTGACCTCGCATCCCTACAAAGCCGGGACGGAGCACGCCGGGTTCTCACCGGACCAGGCTCTCACATCACCAAGCGCGAAGCGCCGTGAGGTATTTGGCGAGTCGCATGAAGGGTGAGCTGCATCCTGCTAAGGGTGTTCGGCATCTTGTGCTTACTTCCTTGCGTACGGATGACAGCTACGTATGACTTAATTTACTTTCTGGTGCTTTCACTTCCAGAGACAGTTGTAAGCACTGTGTAACTGCCTCGAGGATGCTTGACCATTTTAACACAACGTGGTGCGATCATCCCCCTTGCGCGGAGTGAGGGTTCTCCACCCCGCACAACATGGTCTACTCGACCACCATTATGGTTACCGCCAAAAAAAAAAAAACAGAGGTAAAAAAAAAACGGTAACCTGGTTGCCGAGTTCACGAAGTGAATTGGCTTGTTTTACAACGTCGTTGCCAAGCGACGAAAACCCAATCCCGATGGCAAACACCGAGGGGGTGGGGGGGGTTAAAAAGAGGAGGAGTGCATCAGAGTTGTTTATTCGCACCAATCGTACCGACAACGCGCGTTTCGTAAGACACGGGGTCATTTCCGTCGCTGGAATTGTATCCGTGGGACGTTCCATGAAACGTGCCTTCGTACAACCAAGGGCTGCCTCCCGATGTGAAACTACTCTCTTCTCGGCAAAGAAAACAAAACTAAACAGGACCAAACTAACCTTCATTCCTCAAATCCAATCCACCCTCGCTAAATAGTCATGACCAAGAAAAGAGCTCCTCCTGTTTCACTAACTGAGTGCCACGATCACAAGCATCCTCTCTTCGTGGCAAAATTCAGTACTAATTTTCTTAGAAATGGATTCGTTGGATCATATTCGGAAAAAAACAAAACAAAACAAAACAAAAACGAGCTGTTCTCGCTCCAGCTCCAACTCCCCCCCTAACCTGTGAAGCGCCCTCCCCGACGCGCGGTCGACGGCCATGAGCAGCGCCGCCTCGTCAGGGTCGTTCGCCCCGCAGCAGCAAGCGTGCGCGATCAGCCGTGCGGCGGTGTGCCTTGCCATCACGTCCACGCACTCCAGCGTGATCTGGCGCAACCAATAGACGGATCCCTCCGGCCTGGGACGGTCCAGCAGGGACGACAGGAACCACCTGCAAAAAAAAAAACGATCGCCAGTTTTTGTTGTTGTTGTTCTTGTTGGTGGTGTTGGTGTAATCTCATTTGCTGCTTTGGCGGTGGTGGTGTGGCGTATATCTTAGGGTTGTTGGTGTTGGTGGTGGAGGTCGCGTTTCATGGAGGTGGTGGATGGCTGCTTGTCGTCATCGGGGTTTGAAGGGGTGTGGGGCGGAGAGTAGAGGGGAGGGCAGCGAACACTAAAAATATCCAAACCAAGACGGAGAAAGCGAAACAGAGGGACACAAGGAACAGAGGCAGACAGACAAAATGGCACCGATTCAAAAGTAAAAACAATAATACGCGGAATACTTGACAAGCTGTTGTTATACCCCTAGAGTCAATTCTCACTCCATCTGCCGGGTAGCCCAACAGCAATAGTGTATTGTAGGCCTCCTGGCTGAGCCCCTATGCTATGGTCAAGCTCGAAGTCCTTAGCTATGTAAAGTACAACAGTTGAAAGTGCTGGCGCATGCAATAGCTCCTCCTTTGCCTTCGCCCCTCCTTCTCCCACCGCCCCCATTTGTTCTCCCTCCGGCCCTCGCCCCCCCTCCCCGAATCCGACCACACACCTGCACATCTCCGGGCTGATCGCCAGCGCCCTCTGCAGCAGCAACTCCCAGGCCTTCACGTCCAGCCTCTCTCGGCTGTGCAGGATAACGTCTAGCACCGCCGTCATGCCCATCTCCAGCACGCGCGCGCTCAGGCTCACCTCGGACGGATCCCCCTACCGTCGTCATTGTATTGTCGTCATCATCGTTGTTACCGTTGTCATCATATTGTTGTGGTTGTTGTCGCGATCACCAGTCGTTCAAACAAGCAAGAGAGGTACATCACCAGGCGAAACAAAAATCCAGGGAGGTGCATGCGGGGGCACCGCCAAATTGCTCCCGGGGAACGGGCATCTCTGGGGGGGGGGGGGATCTATCTCTCTAGGCGAAACAACAGAGACAAGCCGCAAAACAACAACAACAACAACAACAACAGCTTGACCTACCTTGCCCCACTCGTTAACACTGGGCGGCGCCCCGTCCGCGTCCTTGCCGGTGCTCGCGGGGAGACCGTCTCCAGCACCCACGGTGGCCGCCGTGATCTCCCTGTTTTCATCACACCACAACCAACAATTAATAAGATCAAGAGGGAGAAAGAACAGGCAAAACGTGGTGCTCGGCACAGGGAGGTTTCATGCTGACGCAGGAGACACCACAAAGAGCACACAAGCAACACGTGTGTACACGGGCCGGCACGTTGCTCGTGTTTCCGTGAAGAGGGGTATTGGCACGTCCAAAGACGAGAGGGGAGGAGGGGGGGGGTGTACTCATAGTCGTGCATGCCGTAGTCGTTTGACCATTGACCTCGCATCCCTACAAAGCCGGGACGGAGCACGCCGGGTTCTCACCGGACCAGGCTCTCACATCACCAAGCGCGAAGCGCCGTGAGGTATTTGGCGAGTCGCATGAAGGGTGAGCTGCATCCTGCTAAGGGTGTTCGGCATCTTGGCTTACTTCCTTGCGTACGGATGACAGCTACGTATGACTTAGTTTATTTTCTGGTGCTTTCACTTCCACAGACAGTTGTAAGCACTGTGTAACTGCCTCGAGGAAGCTTGACCATTTTAACACAACGTGGTGCGATCATCCCCCGTTGCGCGGAGTGAGGGTTCTCGACCCCGCACAACATGATCTACTCGACCACCATTTTGGTTACCGCCGAAAAAAAAAAAAAAAAAAAAAAAAAAAAAACGAGGTAAAAAAAAAAACGGTAACCTGGTTGCCGAGTTCACGAAGTGAATTGGCTTCTTTTACAACGTCGTTGCCAAGCGACGAAAACCCAATCCTGATGGCAAACACCGAGTGGGGGGCTTGTTTTACAACGTCGTTGCCAAGCGACGAACACCCAACCCCGATGGCAAACACCGGGGGGGGCGGCTTGTTTTACAACGTCGTTGCCAAGCGACGAAAACCCAAACCCCGATGGCAAACAAGGCCGAGGGGGTAGGGGGGAGAGGGAGGAGGGGGGGATATTTTGATATATATCGTGTGCGCGTTTTACTGTTTATCAGTTACTATTTATCAGTGGT